GATATAGTATCTTTGAGAACAGAGCTAATATGACAAAGACCAATGTAGACAGAGGTAGGTGTGTTGCCACCAGAAATATGAAGGGTGATGTTACTGTCAGTAAAGTGCTTTTCTGGCATTGTCACTACTGTTGGTAGTGCACTGAGCCAAACAAAAAACAATCTTCTCTTGCTTTAAAACTGCTCGGAGGACATTTACTGAAAAATTCAGTATCTATTAGATTTTTGCAAAAATAATTTGGGAATCCAAGTGAAATTAGGTTGATTTGCATCCTTGGTTCCCTCCCTGTACATTCCCTGGTGTCGCTCCCAATCATTATGACAACCAAAAATGCCCCTTCACCTATCCGATACCTCAGCTGGAAGATGGTAGCACTGCTGCTGGGAGGCGCTGGATTAAGTGAACAGGAATCATATGAGGATAACCTGCCCTGTCCTAGGGTGCAGCGATTCCACAGCCAGGCAGGACAGAGAAATCCAGCTAGTAGGAAAAGGGGACATGACATGCTGCGTTAGGTCAAGTGTCTAGTCTGGCGGGAGAAGTAGAGTTCCAAATGTGACAATATGTCAGAATTTAAGAGGGAAAACAAGAGTAAGCATTCACCCCAGGAACTCAGCCCAGCATATGAGGAGGGCCAAGCTAGAAAGAGCTGTGACTTGGGGTACGTGGATATGTAGGCGCTATAGTTTAGATCTTGAATGTTCCTCAAAGGCCATGTGTCATCAGCCTGTGATGTTATTGGTTGGTGGTAGAACCCACAGAGGTGAGGTGTTAGCTGAAGGAAGTTGAGTCATTGGTAGATGCGCCCTTGGAGGGGATACTGCAACCTTGTCTCCTTTCTTTCTTTGCTTCCTGAGCTCCATGAGCGAGCGGACCTCCTCCGCCATGTGTTCCTGCCATGATACTCTGCTGCTACAGCTGCAAAGAAACAGGGCCAAATGATCACAAATAGAACCTCTGAAGCCATGAGCCAAAAGAAATCTATCCTCATTATAAGTTGTCCCAGTGACAGAAAGTTGACCATATGCTAATTTTTTTTTCTTTGTGCCTGAAATCTCAGATCTGGCAGAAATGGAAGAATTAGGGTCCACACAGGAACCTAGCGGCGCTGACTGTGTTCTCAGAACTTGAGTCTGGGAATATGACTTATTTCCAAATTCCTCATGCATGGCCCCTGTCAGAAATGACTCAGTGCTAGGCATGAATTCAAGTCTTCTCCAGAAGCAACGCCTGAGAAGAAAGCAGCAGCTGTGAGACTAACAGCCTCGATCTATCAGTGCAAAGCATGAGCTTGAAGAGGAGATGTCTATATCATGGTCTTCAAGTTCCCCATAGGACTTTTTTGGCTTTCACTTTAACACAAATGAATCAATTCATTATTCAAACAAAAAAGAGAATGAGATTCAAATGCCATTAGCAAGCGTTCCTCGCCCCACGCCTACTCCATTTATCTATTGGCTTCCTCTGGGTGGACACAAAACAGCTGCTTGGAATTCGCATTTGCAGTCCATTTCCAAAAGTGGGGTCAGTAAGGTGTGGCCATAAATTCAGGCAATGTTTACACTGCCTACCACAATTTACAAGGCTAAGTACATAATTTTTCTTGGAGCCCAGACTGAGTTCAGCCCTACAGTCCGTGCTTTGTGACTCAGAGCCAAGCAGCGCTCACACAAACCTGATATTCCCTGAAGACCATCTGCACAGGATGATGGCTCATCTCCTGTGTTCTGTTCCCAAAGCTCCATCCAAGACAACTATCTCATCTATGCTCGGGATTCAGATTACTTGCTCTTTTCCTCCATGGGTTGATCGGGCTCCTTTGGGCATACTGTTCCCGGAAAATTGCCCTTATTTCAATTACAACCTTTTCAGCGGCCCCATTACCGCATTTGCCCACGTTCATTATGGTGGAAGGTCATGCACAGTGGAGGGTCCTGGGAAGAATAGTTCGGCTTTATAGTCCTGCATGGAATGCAGTGTTAACAAATCGAGGCCGAAAGAGAAAGGAAAGTGTTTAGTAAATGAGAAAAAGAGATTTCCATTTTAGCATATAAAAAGAGAGAAGGGAATAAAGAATAAATTATCCACAATTACAGAACAATAGAGGAGAAAAGCTGACTTTTTCCTTTCCAGAAGCTTTGATGCAATCATGCTTAAGATAGTGCAGATTTACACACCCAACGTCCTGAGCTGTTCTGCTGTTCTCTCGCCTGCTCTCTGACATTATCTGTCCCTCTGTGCTCTCTCACTGTCACCTGAGGTCTCCCATCTCCCTGGCCCAGCCAGGCTCTGCCCCACCTTTGGAGCTGAGGGCCATTTACCTCTTGGTTGATCTCTCAGTGCCACAGACAAAGATTTGATTCCTTCATACTAATGCATTTCTGTAAACTTTTTTCTATGTGAATGTGTCTTTGGATTTTCTTCCTGTGTACTTCAGTTTAACTCAGATCCACTTCCCTGCTTGCACTCTCTAATGGTTCCTTACTACCCACAAAATCAAGTTCAAGCAATTACCCTAGCTATCCTCTGTTGAAGATAGCAGTATGTAATGTAGCAACCATTGTTATCTCCTATCATTTTGTTTTGAGGTCATGTATCGTTTTTGTTGTTTTTGTGTTCTTTTGATTTTGTCTTCACTGTTGTTTTGTTAGTTTTTTAAATTTTTAAAATTAAAAAAAAAATCAAGTCCAAGCGAGGTTATGAATGCTGTATAGTGTTCAAGACCCTCTATGATTTGCCCAGCAAGTCTTTCTAGCAGTTCTACATCTCTGGTCAAAATGAAAGAAGTCATGTAAAGCATGTGCACATAGCTTCAGGACTCAGTCCTGGCTCAGTTACTGTAAGCTGTGTTCTCAGCTAAGTTGCTTAAGCTGCTGTGTGCCTCAGTTTCCCCAATTGTAAAAATGGAACAATAACAGCAATGATTTAAATTGTGTGAGAATCAGGAGAATTAATAGATATTAGGTGTTGAGAACCGTACCTGCTGTGATTATTGTTACCATCCAGAGCAATCTTGACTTTTTCTATCTCTATACATTTTCTCAGTTACCAATTTCTGAAATGCTTTTTCCTTTTATTAATTCTTCTAAATTCTATCATTTAAAGTCCTACCAAATTCTCCCTCTTTGATGAGCTTCTCTGAACTCTTCAACTCACAGTTCTTTTCTATTTACCACTAGCTTTTAGTGATCTAGTCTAGTGATTTTGCAAATAGCTTTTTTTTACTGGTACCGGGAATTGAACTCTGGACCTTGCACTCGCCAGGCAGGTGCTGCGCAACTGAGCTATATCCCTGGCCCCCAAATAGCCGTGTATTGTGCCATGAAACTTCTTAAATTGCTGCTTTGTGATAGTAATTTTGAATGTAATTTTGCCTGTTGCCCTCCTCCTCACTGATTAGCTTATGAATTTTTTGAAGGTAGAGCTTTTCTCTCTCTCTCCGTGAAGATTAAAGATTAAATGTAGGGCCTTCACACTAAGCTAAATGTTCAGCTCCTTTGATTTTTAAACTTTTACTTAAAAACTCTTTTTGAGACAGGATTTCACTAAGTTGCCCAGGCTGGGTTTGAACTTGCAATCTCCCTGCTGGGCCTCTCAGAGTGCTTGGATTATAGGTGTGCACCACCATCCCTGGCTTCAGATTTGTCTTCTCGCAGAGATCAGTACCTGGTACATTGTCTTTCCAACAGCAGCTCAGTAAATGTCTGTTTATTTGAACTGAGTTCATTCACAGGTTGTATGCAAGTTTGCAGGGTGCTTTTGGAAACGGTGAGAAGACAGGTGTAGAAGAGTTGCAAACTTTGATTTTTACTTGTGGAACATTTGTAAATGTTTGGCAAATGGCAGCTGGAAGGACTCTTAGAACAGCAGTTTAGGCAGATTCAGGAAGGCTGAGGCAGAGTCTTCTTGAACGACTATGACACACAGCGTCCCAGACGGCAGCTGGGTCCATAAAGAAGGGCTGGAGATTCTAATTTTCTTCCTTGGCTGCTCAGATTTGCCCTGGGCTGGCAACCTTCACCACCTAAGACTTCTAGTTTAGATTTTTCGGTAAATTCCTGGGTGGCCTTGGGCTCCTGTCATAGCCTGCAGTTGCCCTCATCTAGCAGGGAGGGTGCTGGACCAATATGCAATTTCTCAGGCCCTTGCTGACTCCAATGTTCTATCATCCTAGGCTCTTTCTCGTGGTCACTGGTGTGGGGGCAGAATGGGAGGGAAAAGGCTTCCTTCTGCTGCAATTCAGTTCTTCTGCCTGCTGAGGACCAATCAGAGTTTTGGCTGGTGGAACTCAACTGAGCCTTTTCCAAGGGGATGGGACGGTCTCATTTTATTGGGAGTGGCCCAGCTTGCCACAGTCTTGGAGTCCTTTTCCTTCTCTACCCCACTGGGAAAGTCAGAACTTGGGAAATTGGATAAGGGAGGAAGGCAAGGGCAATAACAGTAAAGAACTTAAATTAGGGCCATCTGTATTTACTGGGTCAATAGTGATGCCTCTAGGTAATTACTGAGTGTTCCCTCCCTCCTGCCCTTCATGAAAGGACTGATGTCATGGTTGTTGATGGCAGAGGTCGGGGAGATGAAGCAAGATTGCAGTGGGGCTTGGTGCCAAGCGTGTGAAAGTGGCCAGAGAATCCATCTGGGCCTTGGGCTTGGACTTATTGGTGCATCCCACTGCCTGCCTCCCCTCCCACTGTCAGATGGTCATCCAGATGCCTCTGGCAGCCTTGCTCAGGTACTCCTGGCTGTTCTCTCTTGTAGTGCTGCCTCTCCCTCCCGACTGAAACCTACAGTAACCCCTCTACCAATTCTCCTCTGCTCCCTCAGCCAAGGCAGTGGACCTGCTTTCTTACTAACTTCAGGCTCCTTGAGCTGAGATCTGCCAGGCCATGGCCTCATATCTGTAAGTCCATCTTGTGCCTGGAAAATCATGCTGAGGAGGAGGGTACTGCAGCTGCTGGTGCTGCCACCATGGGATACGGTGCTGTTCTAGGAAGGCGGGGACAGAGTACGAGGCAGGACATGTACAAGGTTACCAGCTATAGAACAAGTGGTCAAATGTGGAAAGAGACATCTGTCCCACCAAGCCATGTTCGGATTGCAGCTTTCCTTTCCCTCTCCTTGGCCATAACAGCTAGGTGCTTGGCTCTGTGATACTGGCTGGAGGGAGGAGAAAACACATGGCCCGGACCTCCAAGGAATCTGCAATATGATCAGAGAAGCAAGATGCACACACATTTCCAAGCATTGAAAAGGGCAGCAGAAGGGGATTGTACTCTGGCATCCATATTAAGCTTAAGAATCTAAAAATCACAAGTTAATTTTTCTGGGAGGAAGATCTGTAATTTTCTGATTTCAAAGGCAGAATGGATTCCTATTCCCCCAAAGGACAAAGACCCCAAGTTGAATGACCTGGGCTGAAGTCTTAGGTTGCCACTTGCTATCAGTGTGATAATAAATTGCTTAAGCTCATCCTGGCCTGGTGGCACAGACCGGTAGGTACTCCCAGTACTCTGAGAGGCTGAGGGGAGAGGACTGCAAGTTTGAGCTCACTCTGGGAAATTTAGTGACTTAGTGAGAGCCTGCCTCATAATTTAAGCAAGAATTTTTTTTAAGAGCTGGGGTTGTAGCTCAGTGCAAAGGTCTGAAGTTCAGTCTCCCGTACTGGAAAAAATTTGTTTAACTTCTCTGATCTTGTGCCTTAATCTCTGAAACAGGAGGAATAATATCTGTCCCACTCATCCCTTAGGGTGGCTGTGAAAGTGTTTTATAAGACATAAAACACCACACAGGTGAAAGGTTCATTAATATGTAGAACTGAAACATAAAACCATACAAAATGATAAAATACAGGGCTTATGTCTAATCTAGTATTTTCCACTTTCAGACAACGAAACTGAGAGTGGGAAGTGGCTCAGGGACAGACAGCTAAACTGAAGCAGAGCCAAGACCAGAGACCACTGTTTTCAAGGCTGTACCCTGGAGCTGCAAGGGGAGACAGTTCCCGAGTGTCCGATGCAGCTCTCTGCCTCAGGGAGTCCTTGGTGGCAGGCAGGGCCTCTTGCTTCTTCAGCTTCCTAGAAAATACCATCTGGCCAAAACAAACCCCGAGTAATCTACCGCCTCACTCTACTCTGATCCAGTTCTATTTCTGTTCCTTACCACCAGGCAGCTCCTGTGGAAATGGTTTCCAAAGGGACTGGATTGCAAGTTGCATCACTGCTGCAGAACTGATGACCACGGAAGAGACTCAAGGATAAGTTGGGATCGGCTACTGAGGGAAGAGTGACGATCCTAGTAGACATTCAAATATTTCAGATAAAATTCTCATAAACAAGAGCTTTCTAAAAAGTCATTCGCCAAGATGGCGCACACCTTTGTAAGACAAGCAACTAGGCTCAAGCTGAGGAGACAAATAACACAAGGGCTTGGAGGGAGCCCCTGCACACTGTGGGACCTTTCATCTGTCCGTTTTTCTCTAGCTACTGCTGAGGGCCTGGAGAGCTGTATGAGTTCCCCTGCTTTCCAGTCTAGAAAACTACCCGGGAAGCTAGCTCACTCAGGTCATGCCTTGGGCTTTATGCTGAACGTTATCTGCAGCATTTCCGAGCATGAAGGTTCTGTTCTTCCAATGAGTGACTCCAGAAGGAAGTCCCAGCCATTCTCTCTGACCCATTCTACTGTTAACTATGGTCGAATCATGACTTTTTTTTTTTTTTTTTTTACAATGCTAGGGATGGAATCCAGGGCCTCTGGTATACTAGGTCAGCCTTCCACCTTTGATTTGATCCCAGCCATCAGATCCTGACAAGCAGGCCTCGCAGTGACCTTCAGACACCCCATTGGCAGTTTACCTTCATTTCCTCCGGCTCCTCCTGATTGCAGATGGGATTAGCCACACCTCAAGGTTTCCACTTGAAAGTATGCTGTTAAATATTGGATCATAAGGAGCCCCCTTAACCTGTACTCATCCAGACCTAGTAATGTTAGAAATATTTTATCTACGTGCCTATTTAATCACACTCTGCCCAACCACTCTATCACATCTGCTACCTGAGCACAGCTTCCCTCTCCCCACAGGGTCCAGCTCTGCTAGCAACCCACCTCTCTTCCTTACCTTGGAAAGAAATCAACATCTGAACAGCTGTGTAAGCACAAAATGTTTAATTTGGGAACAGTGTCTGTGGGAAGAAATGCTTTGTTAGTTTCCAAAGTGATGCAAAGCTTAATTTAGAAAGGAATATACTGTGACCATTTTTTTTTGGTCCTTGAACTCATGGAGGTTATAGATGGACTGCAGAGGCAGCCTGCCTAAGGATGCTAGCATTTTTGCAGCAGCAAGTTTGTCTGTAGCAGTTGCATTTTTAGTCCTCTTCAGAGATACAATGGATCCATGCAAGGGAAGCATTTGCTCCCTGGGGACAAGGCCTGTGTCTCATTCAGCCTCTCTGTATGGCCAAGGCCTGGCAAGGGTCAGCAAGTGGGAAGTGTTTCTAAATGTTGAACTGCACCATATTGCCTGTCTGCCCCCTACTCCCTACCTTGGTCTTAAACAGGGTCGAGTCAGGTTCTGGGACTAAGAAATGAGAGCAGCTACCTAGTACAGAGCAAAGCGGGGAGAGGTGTGATCAGATCGTATTGCTGCTAAGTTCTTGACACCTGGAGAAAGCTGGAGTGCCAAAATAGAAGCCCATCGTGTCCTGTCACATTGGATGTTAGTCTCATTCTTTCATGGACGCATATAACTAGGACCTGAAAAATAATGGGAGCATAAATAGAACAGGACCGATTTGGAGACAGGAACCAGGAAATGTGGAAATCAGGAGGCTCCGTCACTCTGACCACCACAGCAGCAGTACTGGGGTCTGGAACCGAGCCGGGCACTTTTTGAGCATCTCTGCCCTGCAGCCCTCTGTGGGCTCCAGGCAAAGTCACCTTTGAGTGTCTTACAGGCTCGGTCACAGTTCCTGATTCTGTCACCTGCTAACTTGGGGAATTGCTTTATTGATAATGGAAGTTTAAACTGAGCAATGGCATGAAATTCTAGACATAACTTTAATTGGAAAGTATGAGAGAAGACAGGGAAGGGACTCCAGCTTGGGCAGCTGGTGGCAGCACACCTCTGAGGAGGAGGATCAGATCGGCTCTTTCACTTGAAGGAGTAGGAACCAGTTTTAGGGGGCTGTGGTGAGCTGGAGTCCAGGTGATCATGATCTCATTTCTGGTCTTGTAGGGCTGGAGGAATGTTACGGCTTCAGGGCTGGTTTGGGGTCCATGAAATGTATGTCTTTGCGGCAGGCTGAGTGGTGTGAGAATCCACTTTTCCTGGGATCTGGGTGATTACAGGTTTAAGATGACAGCTGGAGACTTCTAAGCATCACCCCAGCTAGGGAGAGGTGTGGCACTGGAAGATGTAAAACCTGGTGCTCTGGGTTATAGCTAGACGTCCCCCAAAGCCTCCTGCCTTCATGGGTGGGGCTTTGGGGAGGTGGCTGGGTCATGGCGGTGCTATACTTATCCCTGGATTACTCCGCTGAAGAGGTTACAGCTAAATGTGCTCTTGGGAGGCAGGGCCCGCTCAGAAGAGGTGGGCCCCTGGGCGTGTGTCCTGGAAGAGCTCATCTCCCTCCCTGGCCCCACCCTTCTGTCCCCATATCATGCCCCCCTGCCATGCCTTCCTGCCTTGGAGCCATCTGGTTATGGGTTGAAATGTGAGACAAAATAAGCCTCTTCTCTTTTAAACTGTGAGTATAGGGTATTGTGTCCCCGTGGAGAGTAAAATGACTAAGGCAGCTGGCAGTGGCTGTCCCTGTGACTCCTGGAAATTACTTTAATTATTCTTATCTCGGTGCCTTCAGTCTTGAAGGGGGTTGAGATACGAGGTAAATTTAAGGTTAGTAAACTGTATTCTGCCAACTTTTCCCAAATGATGAACGTACGAATTTAAATCCCATTCTCCCCAAGGGTTGAGAGATAGATAGTCACCGTGATAAGCAAGGGCCAATTTGGAGAAAAAAAAAAAAGGAGATCACCAAGAGAAAATCTCTGTGCATAAAAAAAGGTTCTCGGGCAACAGTGGGCCAGACCAGCTAGAGAAACTGCATGTCTGAGGACAAGCAGGCTCAGGATGAGGCCTTGGCTCTACGATTTCTTGTCCCTCAGTCTCACGTCCCAAGTTCCAGTATGTTCTAGAAATGAGGTGGCTGTCTTGTTCAGAAAACAAAACAAAGACCACAGAAAGCCCCATTACTAGAGTTAGAGCTGCTGTGGTGGAGGCATCGCCTGTAAGTGACCACGAAGAACTTCTGCTGCCGGGTCAGGGAGGGAGACAGCCCGGGAGGTCGGGGGTGACAGGACCAGCGGGCAGCGGGAAGACTACGGGTGACAAGGGCACCCCACCCGGACAGAGACATGAAAGCCAGGGTGCACAGCCGTGTGGCAGCAGCTGGCCGTTTCTGCTTTACAGCATATTTTAGATTTTGTTTACAGTGCTAGCTTGTGCTCCAGCTTTAAATCTTTCTGAGCTCAGCCTGTGGGTGAGCTCATCTCATTTTTTTCATTAACACTTATTAATAGGCCAAGGATGGTGCAGAAAGCAAGAAGAAGCGCAGAGGGAAGCACTGGCAGAGAAACCCTGATGACAAAAGGATACATACAGAGAAACAGTGGCCGAGCCCGAGCAAAGATGTGGGACACAGAGGACAAACGAAGCCATTCGGTTCTAGAGAGAGATTCCAGAAAGCTTATTAAGACGGCGTCCTGGAAGATGCTAGCTGGGCCCCCGGGGCTGGGTTTCAAGCCGCCCTGGCTGAAGCCTGTCCGGGTTCAGAGCCTAAGCCACAAACGTTCTTTGTTTTGTTTGTCCCAGAGTTTGGCTCCTGGCAACCTGCGAGCCGGGATTCTGACGCACGGCCTGAGCGCCCCCTGCTGGCCACGCTTCAGAACTTCACCCTCTGGAGCCAAAGTGGAACAGGATTACGTAACTCTTCAGCTTCCCACCGCCCGCCCCAACACACACACACCCTGCGCCTTAAAAAAAAAAAAAATCTCAAATTCTTGGTTTCTCCAAAATCTGCTAAGGCTTAAACGCCCTGCCTGTCAAGGTCCTAAGGCCCAGGAAGGGCAGTCCTGAGAGGTCCATGCTAATGAGATCCCCCAAGCTGAAAAATCATTTATTGAAGACGTGCCACATAAAAAGTGCTGCGGAAGGCCTGAAAAGGGAGCTCATTTGTCTTTTAGTCTGCTTCCCTGAAAAGTGACTGTGGAATTAAGCTGGCCCTGTGGGCTGCGGGGAAGCACGTCCCCACCCGCGAGGAGGGGCGGCTAGCGTCCTGCGATGGTGCACCTCCCCTTTCCTTCTCCTCTCCCCGCTTCCTCTAGGTCTCTTCTTGTTCTGCGCAAAGGAAGAACTGTACCGTGCAAAGCCTTGCTGGCGGGGGAAAGAAACCTGTCTCCCCAGATGCCAAGCGTATTCGGCTATTGAGAAAGGCTTTTATCTCAGTGAGGAAGGACCCGAGCGCGGTGCCCCCGCCCCAAGGTTGATACGAAGGGTGATCCTGTTGTTCTTCAGGTGAACCAGATCTGAGCTACAAAGACCTGCGGGAGGAGAGTCCCCGAGCCCGCAGGACCGGGGCTGGAGGTGTGGGAGGAGGAAGGAGGCCAGGAAGAACAGCATCCAGGAGTCTGTAGCCCCAGGCCGCAAGGGTGCTCCCCCTGCCTCAGCGGCTGTGGGTCAGTGATGAGGCTGGCTGGGGCCCTAGGCGGTGACCCCCACTCTGGCTGTCCATGGCATCCCCTGGGGGTGGGGTGGGGACTGAGGTCCAGTGCTCCAGCTAGGATATATGCTCACCATAAGGAGGCCACCTCTTCCCTGCCTCGGCCTCTGCCTCAGCGGCCCTTAAAACGTCAAGTCAGTGGGACAGGGTTCTCGTCAAAGTCTCCGAATGAAACCGCCAGAAGGGATCCCCCTTCCTTTCTTAACTGCCAAGAGCAAACCTCAGTTAACTGCTCTATGCAAAGCAGCGACAGACCCCGGGGAAATCGGTCCCTGTGTTTCAGGTCCCTCTTACTTGCTCGGCCTTGGGGCACCGTTTCTTCCTCTTGTCCGCCTTCCCTCCCGTTCCCCTGGCTCCTTTTCCTCCCCTCATTCCATCGACCTTTTGCTCACACTGCCCATGGGGACCCCCTTTGCTATTGTTCCTAGATCTGGTACCCTGGTCAGGGCGCTGATGTGGAAGGATGGCGCAGAAACGTGTCTGCTTGCGGTGCCCACATGCCCGGAGCCCTGCCATGGGCTAAGAGGGCTCACACATCCACACAATTCTGGTGATCAGGCTCTGGGGCTTCTTTTGCTCAACATTCAGTCTGCAAACCATCTCTGAAAGATCACCAGCCGGCTGAGAGCCCGTAAGGTACATCACCTCCTACCTTGAATAGCCCTTGCGCACTTCGACCGTTCAAAAGCATTTTAGTGGCTCTCCAGTCGATAGCAACAGAAAGGCCTTGGCAGGCACTGTGTAGATACAAATAAGGGTTATTTACTGCAAATGAAAGTAGCTCGGAGATAACCGAAACTGGCTCAGTTTTGTTTCTGTTAAATACAAGAGGGAAAAACCCCACAAATACTAAAGAACACAAGACGAATGCTCCGCAGAAGACGCTGTTTATCTATGTTGCTCTAGCGGAATGAATTATAGCAGCTTCTAAAGCACTCTTGGAAAAATAATTCAGATTTTAGAAGGAATCTGCTCGGCCTGCACCACTGTGGGTTTTAGCTGCTCCTAGCCAGCAGGGGGCAGGCTTCAGTTATAAATGAGAGACGGCAGCGCAAAGAGCTGGGAAATGGAGGATTCCGGGTTGTAACCTGTTTATTCCGTGTTGAAAATTCTACTTTGGGCCTGTGCACACGCCCAGCCATCATAGTCCAAGCTTCTTGATAGGCTGAACGAGACTATATTTCAGATAACCAGCTCCTGGATGTAAAATTTTCTTTAAGATTAAAATCGGGGCTCTGCACACCTTCCGCAGGGAGCGCAAGCTGCCGTTCAATGTGCAGTCCCCGCCGCGACTTCTCGTTGTCCTCGGCCTGCCACTGCTACCCGGAGTGTCAGGAATGGGGGTGCTTGAGCCTGGGTTGGACTGGGAAAAGCCGGTGATGGGTCAGAGACGTGGCGAAGGAGTCTCTGCGGTTGGGCATTCCCTTTTGTTCAAGGAATATGGCAAACCCTGGGAGATGAAGACCCCTGGAAATGTTTTGTTAGCGTCTGGGCTAGCTTAGCACGCACTCCTGGGAATATACCCAAGAGAACTGAAAACCTCTGTCCACTCAGAACCCTGTACACTGGTGTTCATGGCACCACGATGCCGTATAGCCAAAAGGTGGAAATGAACCACTTGTCTGCTAAGGGATGAAGGCCTGTCTGCATAAAGGAAGATTATTCGTAAAAGTGAAGTATTGAAGTATTACAACACGGAGGAAGCACATACCAGGAAGACCACGTTTTGTGTTTATGTGAAATACCCATTTATTCCATCTATGTGAAGTGTCCGGAATAGGTAAATCCATAGAAACAAAACAAAGACTAGTTATTCTTGGGAAGTAATGGAAGAGAGGGATTGGGGACTGGCTCCTAATAAGAATCGAATTTCTGCCGTGCATGGTGGTGGATGCCTGTAATTCCAGCACTTTGGAGGCTGAGGCAGGAGGATTGCTGTGAGTTCAAGGCCAGCCCGGGCTACAAAGTCAGTTTAAGGACAGCCTGAACTTCAGTAGTGAAACCCTGTCTCAAAAAAAAAAAAAAAAAAAAAAAGAAAAAGAAAAAGAAAAAGAAATTTCTTTCTGGAATGCTAGGAATATTCTGAAATTAGACAGTAATGACATGTTGGCTGTACCACTCTGAATAATCTAAAAGCCCCTGAATGGTACACATCAAAAGAGTGAATTCTAAGTATGCAAATTACATCTCCCTAAAACTATTACTAAAAAAGAAAGGTTTGGGGCACAAAAAATATTATAGAGAGAAACTCATCAGGAAACAGGAAAATATAAAGAAAATATTTGGCCCCTGGGAGAGCCAGCCTCACTTTCATTAAAAAAAAAAATCACCGTTCAAGGAGAACAGGTAGAATTAGTGAGGGTTGGAGACAGCGCAGGAGGCAAGAAGAGCTGACTGCAGTGCTGAGCTATCTCTGCATCTTCTCAGGGCGACCACTCCTAAAGAGTTTCTGCCTTGCTAGTCGTGCTGACCATGGTGATGTGGGGGCTGTTCCAGTCATAGCAGAAGGGTTGCAAATGGCTGGTGTCATAGAGACCTCCTGTGCAGAGGGAAATAAGAGAAAATTGCATCCTTCAGGCCGCAGTAACAAGAAAGAAAGCCTGCCAAGATCTCAGGAGGTGGCAAAGACAGAAGGTGATAATAGGTAAGTCACCAGCTCCTCTGCTGGGACCTTCAGCCTCACTCTGCAGTCCCAAACATATTATCAGCAATGCCCAGGAGAGGCAGAACCTGGTGCTCTTTCCTTCCGTAGCCTATACAGCCCAGGAGGACATTTAGTAAATACTTAGTGAAAGTGGAGCGCTGGAGAAATAGGTAGGCATACAATTAAAAAGTTCTAGAGAACCACCTCGGTTGACTGGATCCACAGGCAAATGCGGCCTGGATTGACATTCCAGAAAGGAACCATCTCAGAGTGAGGAAGACAAGGAGGTTTTAAAGTTTGCCTACTTTTTTTTTCCAGCACCACCCTGCCTTGATGACTCCAGAGGCATCAAGCACGGAGATGTCCCAGGCGTAGCTTAGCGTGCCCACCCATGGAACAGGTTTGATGTGTCTGTCCTCTCTTACCTTCCTCCCATTCCTGGACAGAAACTACAAGTTATCACTGTGTACTGAGTCAAGATCTGTTTTATTTCTAAGATGAGCTGTGGAGAAATTCCACGCAAGTGTTACCTTTGAAAATTTGTGTTTACTCTTAAAAAAATACCTTCCTGTTCTGTAATTGCTCGTAGTGATCAGGCAAAGATACTAGAGTATGATAAAATATTTTCCAGTCCTGTGTTTTTCTCCAAGTCTATTCCTCTGGGTGAATGTTACGCATTTTAAGGAACCAGGGAATATGTCTAACTATGTCTTATAAAACTTTCTTTAATTATAGATCCAGCCAGGGATGGGAACTTGGTAACTAATTATGCAGCTACTGTTTCAAATAGGTATTGGAACCAAAATGCATAGTGCTTCTAGCTACGCTGTAAAGAAAAAGTTGAAAACAACTGGTGAAATAATGATTTTAATAAATTATATGAGTTCAGTTGAGAATGGGAGATCTGGGTTTCAACCTGATCTTTTCCTTCAGTGAATCCTTTAGTGAAAGTATATTGATCTCCTACCATGTACCAGGCACTGTGTGAAACACTGACAATAAAATCAGGGGAGGAAGATAGTCTCAATCAGTTCGGAGGCCACAATAAATATTTGCTATGTTAAAAATGTTACTAAATCTCTCTGTATCTAGACCTGTAAAATGGAAAAGAAAATCATTTTTAAAGTCGTTGTAAGGACTAAATTAAATCCATTAAACAAAAAGCTTGGATATTACATTTTTAAAATGTTCTTCCAAGCTAAGCATGGTAGCATACACCTGTCATCTCACCAACTCTGGGGGGTGGGCTGAGGCAGGAGGATCCCAAGTTTCAGCCCAGCCTGGGCAACTTAGCACTTAGTGAGACCCTGTCTATAAATAAATAAATGGCGATATAGCTTAGTGCAAAGATCTTGGGTTCAAATTCCAGGTCTGCCACAAACAAGGAGAAAAAGGAGGACGAAGAGGAGGATAGGAAGAGGAGAGGTGGGGGAGGTTCTTCCTTTTATGTACCCTCCTGGTATCATTGTATCATTTGCTACTGTGTACCATATCTTTAAGTGAACATTTCTCACTTAAAGGGAAATGAAGAGGGCAGGATTTCCATTCAAACCTGTGGTCCAAGTACCTCCATCAGGAAGTGGTGCTGTAGCTGAGAACACGGCAGTTGTTATCAGACAGAACTGAGTAAGAAACCAACTCTAACTCTTCTGATTTGGGAGAAGTTGTTTAGCCGGTGTGAGCCTCAATTCCCTCCTCTGTTAAATGGGGCTAAGAGCCCCATCCTCCCAGAGCTGGCAGGGTAAGATGGGGA